TGTGGGCATGTACACATTCTCCACCCCCAGTGTCCCCATGTGCCCGGCTGCTGTGAACACGTTTCTGCATTGAGTGTACATGTCTGAAGGTAGGTTTGTAAGTGTGTTCAGCTGAGTACTGAGCTCCTACAACTGAATACCCTGCCTTAGCAAAATTCACAGGCATTCTGCTCAGTGCTTGAAGGTCTTCAAGGAAACTGTGCACCCAAAATGAACAGGCCCCAATGGAAAAATAATCCAGGGATAAGGAGTAAAAGCCCCCTTCCCTTTCCACACATTAGCTTATCATCCAGAATCTCCGTGTTTCTCCCCTGGTGCTCATTCTAGAGTAAAACTGAAACAAACGAACAAGCAAAAATGGCTGCCCTTAAGGTAATGGCTGTTGTCCCTGATTCCTTACTATGTCTAGTATTTCTTCCTTTCTTTTTTGCATTGAGTTCTCATATTCAAATTCAAGTTTGCCCAATCAAAGTGTTTTATGGATAACCTTCTCCAAAGATAATCCAATTCAATTAAAGAAGCCCCTTTCAGTTTAAAATGTTTGGGATTTTCTATTATCACTCAAACTCCAAAGATATTGGAAAATTATAGCTTTGCCCTTAATAGAGATGTTATTTCTACGATATGAATGTTCTCCTATGCTGCGGCTTGCTCCAGCTTCACCACTACCTTGAATCTGGATGGCTGTTGGTGGCAGAATCACGGGTCTGGTCCCAGGTTTGTCTGTTCAGTGCAGTCATCCAGATTGTAAGTATCCATTTTGCCTAGATAATATCAGGGATGCTCCATTAAGGGCAGGGATGTTGCATCATTCTAGATGCTGTGGCCTACTTCTCCCATGATCCTTCACCATTGGTTATACTAGCTAGAACTGATGGGAATTGTAGGGCAGCATATCCAGAGGGCCATGTTCAACCTTCAGTAAGGACATTACCTCAGTATTTTGAACCTTGAGTAAATATGGAAAAGCCTTAATGCCATATGTTAAAGCAAAAGTGTTTTTGTGAATTGCATTCATGCTTAAGATGGATTCAGACTCATATGGAAAAATGGACAATATTAGGGATGTTAAATAAGCTATTATGAAACATGCTGAATGCACCATGGGAATGCGTTAACTGAACATATTACTAAACCTTACAGTGTCATTAGCGTTCAACAGTTGCTTTTGCCAGATGGTACTATTATCAAGAGTAGGAAGTATTTGTTGAATAATGCAAAGTGAATAAAGAATTAGAGAGTAGTATATTGGAGAAATTCTAACCCTTGTTAATGGGACTGGTCTATTAAAGGCAGGATCTGATACATCCCAGTAGAGCTTTACTTCTCTTGTGTGCTTTGTGCTACCACAAAAGAATGTCCAGATGTTGACTTCTGGCACTGCTCCAGACTCTGCCATTGGTGATTGAAAACCCCTTGTTACACATCTCACAGCTAGGATGAGGTGGACTCCTGCCTACTGAATCAAATAGCTTCTGCTTCACCAGCTTTTGCAGATGGCGCATTGGTTGCTCCACTTATTCTGCTCACATAGTCAGTGTCTACAAAGAGCCCAAGTTCACTCATCATAGCCATGTTCTGCCATGCCAAGTAAGAAATGCCCTCTGGCATGTCAGGGGATCTCTCTCTTTATCAGAATGCTGAGAATTGTTTCATGTGGGCTACTGACACATCATTTAGGAATAATTTCAGATTAAGCACTCTTGGCGGAACCACTGGTGGTGGCAGTCCCTGTGTTAAGTTGCAAAAAACAAACCAATAAGCAAAAACCCTAATGCGCTTTGAATATCCTCAGTGCCCCAAGAAAAAGCTTATCCCATGAGCAGTGACAGGAAGAGGAGGAGGAAAGGGAAATGAGGTAGTGCATGAAGCACGCTGAGATAGGTCTTTGTGGACATCTCCAGTGAGGGTGTCCACAAGCAGAATCCCATTTCTCTGCCCCATCCATACAAAGCAAAGGGGGACATTTCAAAGGGCAAGGGGTTCTAGGGCACTCCAGAGCTGAAAGGGTCCATTAGGGTCCCTTTAGTTTAGAGTATGAAGGGAGTAGGCATGGTTTGGATGGATGCGGCTAGAACTGATGGAGTGAGGCCATGGGGATGGATAGGATCTATTTGAGAGACAGAGCAAGGAGAGAGAGTGGGGTTGTGAACTGAAATGTGGGTGCATGAGAACAAGGGGAGTATATAGATGTCTGTGTATGAGAGCCATATTTACATGTATGCATAGCTTTTGTTTTATCTATGTGTGGTGCTGGCGATGTCCAACTCGACCAAGTGGCTCCCTGCGCCATACTCACAAGAAAATCCTGCTGCCGTGATGAAGAAGATCCCATTTCTCTGCTGTATATGAACCAAGTCTGTAGCTTAGCATTATCCCTTTTGGGGCAAAGACACATAATCCCATCATTTCTTCAATTACCTTAAATTTTCCTGTTGTCATCAAAATGGGTCTGTTGTACAAACCATGCTGAGAGACAGTGTCCATGTTCTTTCATTTTCATGAAGCTAGAACTGCCCTTTCAAAGTCCAACTTTATCCTCTGGTAATAGGCATAGTTCACTATCCGTGTAAGTATTAGTGATTTGCACTATCTGTAATTAGAAGTAGCAAGATTTGTATGAATACACTTTTCTGAGAAAATAATCAGAATGTTGTTCTTGCTGATGTTGTCCTTCCACCTAAAAAGAAAAACAAAAAGCCACTTTAATTATTCTTCTGCTTTTGCTTTCTGTGCTGCTGCTACTTCTTCTCCTGCTTCTTCATCAGAAATCACCATTTCCTCCCACAATACCCCAGAATGATGGTAGGTCCTAGGGCATTATAGAGGATACAAACTGGTGCCCAAGTTGCCATTTGCTTGTGCAATTATTCACTTTGGTGGTCACAACAAAACCTCTAAGAAATATTGAGTGACTATATTAATTTAGGTTGATTTTTAAAAATTGCTTATGAAATACCAAAATATTATTAAAAACAACAACAACAAGATAAGCTATGCTACAATCGGTGGTAATGATGAAGCCCATGTTCTAGAAGCAGTTGGGGTATTTCTTTTCCACTTGAAAATTTTGATGAAATTGTCTTTCTAATCTCTCTGTTCACAGACAGGGTGGATAATCTTGAGAGTCCATGTACATAGAGCACTAAGGATTCAGTCTTGCTTTTTCCAATCTGGTATAATCAGATTTCTGTTTATACTAGGTAATGTTATACCAGATGTTCCATGTAATATAGTTATATCTAGGAATATGAACTTTGCCTGATTCAGCAACCAGTGGCAATCCATGTGTCCTGATCCACAGAAGACTAGATAGATTCTAACTTCTGTTGACAACTTGTCATTGCAAAATTTTCAACCCCCAGCACTCCTGTATTGTTTCACAGATAAGAAAGGGAATGCTGTACTTTAGCAGAGAGTGTTGCATTCTGAATAATTTATACTGTATAGGAAATTGTGCATTCACCACCAACTTTCAATTATAGGATTTTTAAGTGGTCTGTGTGCAGCTTCCACTCCAAATGAATATAGATCGGTATTTTATTTGCTTCCACATGCTTTGTCTGCAAAAAAAAAAAAAAAAAACCATTGCAAAACATTCCAGATATTTGTCTGTCTTTAGTTGGTTGGCAAGTGACAGCCCTGGCACAAATTTTCTCACATCCTGAAGGGGAAGAATGCATGCTGCTACTTCCTTGCACTCCTTTCCTGCTGCTCACTCTGTGGGAGGTTGTTCAGCCAGAAGTTGCATTGTGGGAGCTAGGACAGGTCTCACAAGAGTCCCACATCCATTTCTTCTTGCCTTGCAAGCCTCTCTCTCAGTTCAGCAAACACCATGGCAGAAGTATGGCCAATGGGACCCTATAGAGCACCTGCTGGAGGTGGTGAAGCTGGGGCACAGCAGACCCACTTGGCTTGTTTCTTTGTTTTGTTTACTTGCAAAGTCGTGCCCGACCCATCACAACCCCATGGACAACATTCCTCCAGGCTCTTCTGTCATCCAACATCCCTCACCCAGTGCCCCAGTGACCCCGTCCAGCCACCTCATCCTCTGCCATCCCCTTCTCCTTTTGCCGTCCATCGTTCCCAGCATTGGGGTCTTCTCCAATGAATTGTTCTTTCTCGTTAGGCGGCCAAAGTATTTGAGTTTCATGTTCAGTATCTGGCCTTCTAAAGAGCAGTTGAGGTTGATTTTCTTCCACTTGGCTTAGATGGGAGAAATGGCCCAATTCATCACTCCCACAGCTCTGCCACCTAATGCAAGCTCCTCACCCTGTGTCATGGTTGAGCCAGACCTGATTGGAGGATTTGTATTTCCCATTTTGACCAGAATCCCTAAAATGGCTCCCAATAGATGCAAAAAGTAGAAGAATCATTAATCACTCTATGCCTTTAATGAAAAGAACAGAGCTGATCTAGAATTATTATTATTTATTATTTATTTATTTAAAACATTTCTATGCCGCCCCCATCGCAACAAAGCCTCGGGGCGGCTCACAAATTAGGTATCTGCTGGTGTCCTTTCCTGAGTTCTCACATTCCCAGCTGTGTCCTCCCTCAAAGGACAGTTGGTGTTGTGTGGCCCTGTGATGTGGGTGGGTCTGCCCAGGCCAGGAAAGAAACCTAGACATAGCATCATCTTCATTCTGTACATTCCTGGTTTTCTCACACATGTCTCTCCTGGTTCCTTCATGAACCTTAGAGCACCGTGTGGCGGGGTAATGGGTAAAAGAGTAGAATCCAGAAAACCAGGAAGACCATCTCCTAAAGGCTTCATCTGCCTTGCTTCCTGTTCCCTGGTTTGACTGAGAAGGTCCTGAGGTGAGGCAGAAGATACTTTAGCTGTGGCTGTATTGATTAATATTTGAGCAGTCTCATTTCTTTTTCCTTAAAAGGCCAAGGAAATGGCTTTTCAGCCAGAAATATGGACTTGTAACTTCCAAATAAACTGTATTTTGCTTGTTTGCTTGCTTCTTTCAATTCTTCTTTTGTTATAACAGGCCTCAGAATACGCTTGTTCAATTTTTCACTCAAGCTACTCAGTTGTTTGTTGTATATAGTCCGAGTGCTTCTGGATGATCCTTCGCAACAACATGGATGGTAATGTTTGCATCTTTTTCTTTGTCTCTCTGACTGTTTTACTGTCAAACTTATGCATAACATTTGACATACAGAACTTTAATTTCAGATTTCATAGGGTGGGTGGGGAAAATTCTGAGCAACATTGAATGACCAGCTTGAAGCTATGGCTCTGTTTTGGAGGGAACGTTATTGGGAGAACATTGATTGCAGATACTGATTTATTTCTCATAATAATTCTTGTGGTGCTCCCAGTGTTGGTAAAAGTTAACTTTTTTAATGAAAGGTATTTTTTCCATATCCTCCCCGCCACCCACACACACACATGCACTGTCCCTGCCGCCACCCCAGCTGCACCTGAAATCCTAGCAGCTCTTCAGGAAGAAGAGACACCTATAGAGAGAAATGGATTTCCAACAGCCCACCAAACACCTGTCTGGTGACCCATGGGGAGCCTGATATGCTGAATGTGTAGTCTCAACATGCTTTCTTTCCCAGAAGACTGCTGGATTTTGGTAGTGTGACTATGTCCTGTAGCAGTGGCAGGAGGGACGGGTGCAATCCCCACAGGATTCTGAGATGGGCCACGTGGTTCCCAAACATGCCAGAATTGCCCACCTGGAGAATTTATCACATGCAGTCAAATATCATACACAAGAGTCAAGAAGTCTGCTGTACCGGGCATATTTCATTCTGTATTTCCAACTTTGGCTTAATAAAATTAGTTGTTTGGCTGAGCAGTATGGCATGGCTCTGGAACAGGACAAAAAGTCGATCTGCTGGTTAACCTCTGCGTGATTTGCGGTAGATCAGCAGGAATTTCTGACTCCCAGCATTTATGTATGTATGTATGTATGTATGTATGTATGTATGTATGTATTTATGTATGAATGAAGCTTCTATGCCGCCCCATTCGCCGAAGCCTCGGGGCAGCTCAAAACATTTAAGAATATCAAGTACTAAATTATGCTTCCCATTAAGTTGTACTGCCGAAGTATTTTTTGAACCTTGTGGGAGGGGGAAGGTTGCTAGTTTTACTCAATTTTGTTTAAAGAAGTCAGCAAACAATATTTGTTTAATTGTATAAACATCTTTTGCAGTGCAGTCCTACGGCCCTTAGGTAGTGTCTTGGGGGACATAGAATTTTTCAGCTCAGAGGCTGGAATTGGAACTCTGCACCCAGAGCACTCTTTGCTCTCTTTACAGTTTGTATAGAAAGAACTGCTTCTCTTTCATAAAAGCAGCTGGGGATGGGGAGAACTATGTTGCCAAGATACAAAATATCCTGGGGAGGCCTCAGCCTCCCATTGCAAAGCACCACAGTTAGACACAGAACTCTGTTTTGTCACTGCTTTGCCCATAATCCTCCAAACTTGGACATCCCCATAGGATTGTTCCTTTAATAATCAACAATTATAATTTACTGTTTACTTATTAAAGTACTATTTTCTGTATCTCCTGGTACCATAAAAACACACCTTAGTGTTTGATTGCTGGAATCCCAGTCCTCTGTGATATTTTTGGATAGACTCATTCAAAGTCTAGGAAATTTTAAAAGAAATGCGCGCGCACGCACAGAGAGAGAGAGAGAGAGAGAGAGAGAGAGAGAGAGAGAGAGAGAGAGAGAGAGAGATTTGTAATAAACTTTATCAGAAAAATGCCAGGCTTCCCTAAGTTGCTACTGAATTTGTTGGTATGTTTTAGCATTATATGGGTCTGAATTAATTCAAACAAATCTCATTTCCACTCCTTTACTTGCACATAGAAGGAGGACTTTGGCAGGGTTTGCCTTTATGTAAGAACCATTCATCAAGGTTTAAATAACTCTGGCTAGTTTCTAAACAACAACAACAAAAAACTATGGTTTGTATAAGTGGCATGGTTAAATAAACAGAGTTGGTTGAAAACCAACTCTGGTTCATACACAGCTTTGTTGGGAAGTAAAACAAAACCCCAATGATGCTGGAAGAGAAAAGGAGCATTCTAGTGCTGCTTCCAGTTGAGTGAATGCCAGGCCATCGTTTGTTGCTGTTCAAATTCCATGTGTAGAACTGAAGCCACTCAACATGGACAGGGAGGAACGATGAGAAGGAGGACCAGCACCTGATTGTGCTGACAGTATTCAGGAGAGAACACACAGTGAGGCTCACCAGGTTTGAAAACCAGCATCTCCCAAGCTTTCTCAATTTCTTCTTGAAAGGACTTTTAACCAAAACCTACAAAACCCAAAGCCACGCTCAGCTTTCAGGCATTCAGTAGGCAACAGCTGACTTTTTCCTTTGGAAACCCCAAGGGAGGAAGTCCTGATCAAATCCTGAAGGCATGGGTTCTTAAAATCCCCCTCCCCCCAGAGGAGGCAGAAAAACAACTCCTTCTTTTATATGGAAATAAGTATTTTGCAAAAGAATACATGAGTTTTAGCACAGCACTTTCATACAACAGTACTGCCCTGTACAATTGAAATGGGCTTTTTTGTTGTGTGTATATTTAGAGGTTAAAAAAGCACAAAAGGACTTCCAAACATCCAGGCTGTTTGCATGGAATGATCAACCATTCCTTTCTGTATTGTTTTTAATTTGGCTTGCATGCGACTTCACTAGCCCTAGGTCCTCTGGGTAGCTCATATCACAGTAACCCATGAATGGTTCAGCATAACATTGGATACTGGCAGGGCAAAAACCAAACCAAACCAAATCAAACCAAACCCAAAACCAGAGTTTTAATCCATGGTTTCTTGTTAGGCTATCAGCAACCCGGATTTCCAGATTTGCGCATGCCAGATAGTCCAGGAGTGCAATGTTCAAGTGCAAGTAGCAAACAAATAGGAGGCAGCATGTGCACACAGTCCCAACAACCCATAATTTGAACAATCCCTGCATTTTGTTACATGTGAACCAGTTCACTGTTTCTGGGTTAGATCTGTATTCCATTTGTCATCCTACTCTATGCATCTGGTTATCAAACGTAAAATTAATGCAGGATTCTTTTCTTCAAAGGCCAGTTTGAGCTAATGGAATTGTTCTTTGGGAGAAAAAAGAAATGCGAATCATATATTAACTCTGATACAGTATCACTGGTACATTGTATTAGCATACCATTTTGTACTGAAGTATCCACTACAAGTTGTTGAACTCCAGAATAACAGCTGCATTGCTCAATGTTGAAACCAAGAAAAAGTCTTATAGAACTAACACTTTCCATCTATTTATTCATCTATTTGGCATTATATTTTACTAGTGAGGGCTTAGTTCATTGGAAGAACATGCTTCTTACATACATGGGGTTAGCTCAGAAACTGAGATTTAACATGATTTCTCCATATCATTGATTCACCTGTGAATCAGTTAAGGAACGGGGTCTAATGCTTGATTCTATACTACATAATACTCTATGTTGTTATACTAATATCACCATCCTCCTCTTCCTCCTCCTCCTCATCATCTAACATGTAAAAAACACCTTAAAATTTCCCAGCACTGTATCAATATTAAAAAATAAAATAGTCCCTATCTGAAGTCTCAGGATGTAATAGATATGGTGCACAAGGAAAATGGAATGGGAGGTAAGAGAAAAATCAGCATTCAGTAGCCAATAGATGTGGTCATATTTGTTATGTTTGTCCTGGGAGACAAAGGGCATGGCCTCTGGTCCACCTTCTGTTTCTTGGTTGATGCGAGAGGAGCAGTGATTAACCAACCTAGGTCACAGTTGAAAAGTTGTATTTTCAGCCTCATTTTAGATGAAACATTAGAAATCAATGTTTCAAGGAATTACAGATCCAGTTTTTGGCTTGAATATCCTATGAAGCAGTATCATTGTTGGTGGAAAACCAATTTAATTTTCTACAGCAGGCAGCATTTTGAAATAGCCACTTAGGGAGCAAACCTATGGCCCCTAGACATTATCTGAGGGGGTCAAAGGATATTTCAGATTCTGAGCTCTCTAATCTCAGAGCTGGCAGTCAAAACTCTGCCCTGTACAGAAGGAACCATACCAGCTATTTCTCTGCATTTGAACTGAGGTCAGGAATGCAGCCTTGGAGAGGGAGAAAAGGGGCATTTCAGTGAGAGCAGAGAGACAGAAGACCTCTCATCTAACAAGAATGCAAGGCAGGAAGATGGGGAAGTTAAGGTTGCTCCATGCGTCCCTCGTCATGCCTCCAAGGAGTGCACTTATAAAGGATTTTATGTGTCTTTTTGTTGACTTGCACTGTATATTGCTTTCTCTTGTAAATACCTTACTCCATCTACCCTTAAAATTGACCTCCACCTGAAAAATGTTCTACTGAGTCCGCCTTGCTAGGATGTAGTAAGTAAATCACTTTGCTGCATCTTTGTGAAATACTTTCTTGTATGGTGTGTTTGAAACAGATTTTAACAGCCCTATGAATGAGCCACTGACTTGAATAAGGCCCACATTAATGATTTCTGAGTATTGACTTGGCACTTTTAGGCCTGGTGATTTCAGAATGCCTGCCAAGCTTCCCAGTCATCCTTACAACGCAGCCATATGCTTAAATATGAGTTCTCATATATCACTCATGAGGTTCTCATTGGTCCCTTTGGTAGGTCATATGGGAATAGAATTCTGAACTAGCATTGATCCAGCTTGACTCTTCTTACATTTTTACATTCTGAAGGATAATGATACTTTAGTATTCTCAATAAATATATTTTTAAAAATCCTAATCTAGGTAGTTGACCTCTTTCACAATGAAACATTGAATTTGGTGATCTGTATATATTCTGAAAAATAACCACTTTAGCTCGTAGGCTTATACAGAACTCTAAGTGGAAGGAGAAGATGATTAGTGGTGTTCCATGAACCCCTGCTCAAGAGTTAGCAGAAAACTTCTCACAGCACAGTGTTAAAATGTATCTGGGGCTAGATGACAGTATAAGAAACAATAAATAAGGAAAATACAGGCTGTAGCATATAAATAATCTCTAGTGGGCTTTTAACGTTTCCAACATTAAAAGGTCTTGGATAAATCACTTTGCTGCATGGTCATGAAAGCTTTTGTACAAGATGTTCTAGCCACTGACTTAATGAAGTTCCTGTTATTCTTACTAGTCTCCTGTTGCTAATTAATGTTGCCCATTTCTGTACTGTGCAAAGACTTGCCTGATAGCTTGGCCAAACGCAGGAGCTCCTCTGGACTTGTGGTCATTCTGCTAACATAACTTTCTGCTGCCAAGTTGGAATCAACCCCTTAGGTGAGCAGAGGAGGCATTTAGCTCACAGAAAGACACCTTGACCTTCAAACCACTGTTTCATATTTGTTATACATTCTGGAGTGTTCTGCACAATTCATTCTTATTTTGCCAGAGAGGGGATAGACAAATGTGGGACTTCTAAAACCTCTTAGTAATAGAAACTAATGTGGTCACCACATTGGTCGATGGGATTTCAGCAAGTACACTCTTCATACATTCAAGGCTATTTTTACAACATGGTAACAGAGACCTACAGGGAAGGGAAGGGAAGGGAAGGGAAGGGAAGGGAAGGGAAGGGAAGGGAAGGGAAGGGAAGGGAAGGGAAGGGAAGGGAAGAAGCTGAGATTGTTGGTGACTGCTCCCATATGGCCTCCAGAATAGCAGAATATATGGCTGCTTCCATAGCATCATGGCTACATCATGCTGCTTTTGTTTCAGAATTGTATGGTGGTATTTATGACCATATATTTCTTGCAAAAACAAGCAGTCCCTGGGCCCACTTCCCTCTCTTTCCATGAAGGTAGCTTAATATCAATCCCACTCATTTTTAACTGTTCCCTTTTCTCAAACAAAATGTTGTTGTATTGTTCTGCATAATGTTTTGCAACCATTTAAAAAGTGTTATTACAACAAGCTAATTATCTTGCCTGACTCTTGTGTTTCTGCTTTTTTCATAATGCCACTTTGTTGTGCTGTTATGCTGTTCTCTAAATGAAAATGGATTTCACATTTGAATGTCTGGTAGCAAAGAATTAATCCGGGGATGTTCCAGTCAAAACAACACTCCTGCGAAGATAGATTGGTAAGTGTCAAAGTTGTGGTTCCGACACTCATGTGTTAAGCTAAATGTTTTAGCTTAAGATGTTATCATTTTTTCTAAAGATCGTGGATGGGTGTGCCCTCTGACCATACTCTGGGCCACATTTACTTGAAAAGTAATGGCCCAATACTTATGCTTATTCTTTGTTTTTATTTCCCTTTTCTTTTTTGACTATTTGGGATATTGAGAATTGCCTCATTTACTCCAAATATTTTCTCTTTTATACTGAGGGCTTTGCAGACTGCCCAGATATGGGCTATTGTAGAAGCATATAAAAGTATTAAAGAAATTAACTAAATATTGTCAAAAGAACTATGAAATGCAACATTAAAGCTAAAGCTGAGCTATATTTGTCATATTCATATACCAGGTATATATAACACTATATGTTATCTTTTCAGTGGTGAATCTTTAGACACTGATTACCTAGTGTGGATTTTTACATTTTTGTTCAGCATTCCAAGTGTTCAAGGAACAAAGTCATCAAGATGAGGTCACTTGTAGATCAGGGCTGAGTTGTGGCCCCCATGCCTGAAGATGTACAGAGTCTCAAATTCCACCCCCCCACCCCAAATCCACTCACTAAATATGGACACCTTCAAGGGCAAACTTATGGGGGTCAGACTAGATGGCCCAGGTCACCCTTTCTGACTAGCTCTGTTATATTTGTTTCCATGTTTTTTCTATGCACATGACCAGGGATATATCTTCAGTTCATATTCTGTGAGGGAAGAGAAACTCATAAGTTTGGCTGGCATTTAAAACCTCACAGAGGTCTTAAAGAAATGTGTTGTGAAGCAACTCTATGTAAGGTGGTTGTGGACCAGAGGGAGGTATGCAGAATTATTATTAAAAAATAATGAGAGGAAAAGAATGAAAAGGAAGGTACAGGGATTTGTAGCAGACAGGTAGATAAGACCGCAAAAGGGCCAATCACAGTGAGGGCCTGGAAAAATCATATGATAGGAGAAGGATTGTTAGGGAAGCTGTTCAAGAGCCGAAACACTGAGTAAATACAGAAATCTGAATAATCTCTGGGTAATGATGATGTAGATTTGATAAAAGGAAGAGCTGAGGGCAAAGTAGGATTCAGACAGAATCTCTGGTAGGGTTGAGAGACCATAGAGGCTCTGTACTACTTAGGCACAATTTTGCCCACAGGCAGTTTTAGAACTGTGCTCCAGACCTAGAACATAGCACTCGCCTTCAGACATTAACGATATAAATGGGGCATCATGTGATTACAGGGGTTCTCTGTGGCATGGTCTCAGTAGTCAAGCATGCAGCCTGTCTTCTCCATTAGATGTCCTTTCCCACACTGGAGACATTAAAAAAGAAACTGGACAGTCATCTGAGTGGGATGGTGTAAATTAGTGACCGGCAACAGCAGGGGGTTGAACCCGATGTCTACTTCTTCTGCTTCTTGGCCCCTTCTGACACTACTGTGCTATGGGTCTGTGAAATACCCTATCCTTGAGTAGCTGCTCGTACACAGGCTGCTCAAATACCCAAAGATATGGAAATCTGTGCTTCACCACACTTCTGTGTGGGCATCCAGAGGCAAGTGTCAGCAAGTGCCAGCAGATGGCTTGATGTTAGGGCTGGCCAAAAACATGGCTTTGCCCCAGTGTTCACTGGATGCCTTTTGTTAATAATTTGAAAGGTAGCTCATGAGGTACACAGAATGAGAATCCAGTCTGTGCAGCATCAGGAGAAGAGGTGATTATCAGCCTATCAGCCTATCAGTTTCTCAGCTTCAGGGCTCTAGTTTAATTGCATGAACTGAAATATTTTGAATACATTTGCATTTTAAGGGAGGGGATCTTTTCTTTTAGCTTAGAATGCCACAGAAGGATATGCTGATGTTAATTGTTTCCCATGGCAGTACTTTATATAGCTTATTTGGTCTCCAGAGCAGGCTCTCAAGCGTTCAGTTGGAAGTCAATTCATTTTCCCCCCTGTAATTTAACAGGTCGCCTATTATTTGGGTGAACAGAAGCTTACCTTTATGGGGACTGCAGGTAAAGTACAGTTTCAGTTTTCTCCCGCTCTTGCAGATGTTGCTTAATAATGTTTCAGAACAAATGGTGGATTTGTACAGATAGCAGCACAGAATGTTAATTAGCCAAGAAAGCTGCTGGAGAAGCCTGTGTTAGCAACTCTGGATTCAGGAAAACAGATCAAGTCTGTGTTTTTTGAAAGATCAGGGGTGCAATCCTATGCATATCTGACATAGAACTAAACATCAGTGCTATAGACGCAGTGTCTGAGAAGCCCCAGACTCAAGCTGAAAGCACTTTTGTTCATATGGGAATGGTCAGTGATTCTGCACTGCACACGTACACATAATTGCAGCCCTTTGCACCATATTGGAAAAGCCCCATTCTGTGCACACACCTCTGGATCCCATTTGGATCCCAGCCAAAGTTTTTGCAAAATGCTTTAGTATATCTAAACTGAGCATGAAATTAGAGGTGGAAGTCTGTTGTGAAAAGTAACCTCAAGTTTCTCTGCTGCACTCCCCTTTGCTTGTCAAAGCAGCAAATTACCAGTTCAGCTGTGATAGCAAATATATATATATATATATATATATATATATATATATATATATATATATATGGTCAGTTTGTGCACAAACATCTTGAGTATTTTGTGGCAGCTATAAAATCATATAATGCCACAATACATCGATCTAAACAGAAATGAGATAGAAAAACTAAACTTCTCTGATTTGTTTTATTCTTGTTACAATTCTGCTGAATTGCCCTTACGATATTTTATTTAAAAATACTTCTGCCTTGCAGATTTTAGAGGTCAACATTGTTAGACATTCTTGGGTATGGGAATTTACCTCCTATTTTATAAGGTTTATGAGGTTTTGACACTGTTTTGTTCACATATCGTTTCCATGTCCTCCCCATTTCTAGTTGTTCCATAATCCAGATTTGTTTCCAAGGTTGCTTAACTATCTAGTATAAATGTTATTTTGTTCTGTGTTACTTGCAATTCCATGTACAGTATTCAGGCATCCACAGGAAGTCAGTGCCTAAAACTAGTATACTTTTGAAAATGTATTGAGCTTGAGCACATGCATCTACATAATGAGATAAATTCACCTTAAAGTTGGGCTTATACCATTACAAGGATAATGATCCAGGGGAAGTGACCTGCCCATTAGATTAATGGAACACATTAGTTCATCCCACATGTCATATTGGCTTCAGTGGACTTGAGAATGAATAACTTTTTCTGCGTAGGGTCCAGTGGATATAGGATGCTTCAGAATGAAAAATATGACCAAATTCATCTCTCTCGTATTAAAGTTCTAAAAAACAAAACAAAATAAAACCCCCCAAACACCTTAAGTCCTTTTAGTGCCACTCATTCTGGATCTGTCATAGGGTCCCTTTTTGAAAACACCTACCCTTCTCACCTTCCTCTTCCTTTGATCAAAATGGCACTTCATCCTACAATAAGCCTTTGTTGCAAAGCTCTCTTCCTTCTTTGCCTCTGCAAATTAACTGCTTAACCTCTTGTACCAGGGATGTTGAGTATCTTTCATCCCAAAGGTCCAGTTCAGTTTTGCAGGAACTTTCATGACGTAATTCAGGTGCTGGGCAGGACCAGAGGCAACAGGGGTCAGGGCATCAGTATCAAAAAACCCAGGATATTTTAACTTACAGCTCTTGCTTCCAGTAACTTAGAAGAAGAAGAAAGCCATGAAACTGGCAATAGATTGACATTCAAAGGAAAGGACAACCCCAGCAGGCTGGACAAGATGAGTTTCAACTGTTCTGCAAACTTTGTCTTCTCTGTCAGTTAATTACACTTTTCCTCTCAGCCGTGTGCCCAGTCTCCAATCTACCCCTCCCCTGCTTTTTCTGACTGTGCTTGGCTGAGATGAGTCCGTTTGGAGTCCATTCCTTCTTGCCCATACTTGAAGTAGACTTGGATAGGCTACTTGAAGTGGTCTCTTGCCCATCCTTCCCCTCAGGACTGCTACTGGACAAGCAAAGGGTAGGTGATGGGCAGTTCGCTGAGCTTCCTTCTCCTTCACCTTCACTGCACCATTCAAAGTTGCCTGGACCAGACAGACAGAGGTATAGGTGAAGCCTGGTGAACACATGTACCCTTCCCATTGCTTAGAGAGCAGTGCTAGTTTCTATGGCTAACAGGAGCTCTGACCACTGAAGGCATCAGTCCTGTAGTTCACTTCCCATCATATAGCAGCTCATGAAATTTCATGGCCCTATAAATAGGGCATGGGAGAAGCTGAGGAGCTTGGGTTGCCAAGATCTTTATCACCGAAACAAAGCGTGTATTCATGCCAAGTGCCTGGGTACTTGCAGCATATGGTTTACTTCAGCTAGAAGCAGTGATGCCTGCCGGGTGGCATTTGAGCCTTTTTTCTGATGCTTGGGTTCTCTCCGCTTTCTGTGCTTCATCTTGATTATGCAATTGTTCAGGATGTTGGGTTTTCATTAGCAAGGGACATTTGTTTAAAATTAGAAATTCTCATGCTAATCTTATTCAAGATTCCACATGGGATGATGATATGTTTCTGCAAATAACAGTTCAGAGAATATCCTGTAGTTACTAAATGTATGCAGCTATTTAAAGCCATTTAGCACTTTTTATAGTGGTTTTGAAATGATGGAGGAGAATTAAGGTTGTTGTTGATTTTTTAAAAATAAGATCTTAAAAAGATTTATAATCAAAGTAAGGCCAAGTATGATGATGGGACATACTGTTGACAAATATCCAAGCAATCCGTCTCTGAGTTGGGTTGCTCTTTGCATGGAATATGTTTGTGAGGTCCCCACTGGCTGCAACATTAATGCAATTGATTCCAGTCCCATTTGATTCCAAATATCATATGCTGGGGACAAACAGCAGCCATAAGGAAAGCCATCAATAAGGAAAGCCATCACTTCATGCTTTATATATGAGCATCTAGAGAATATGAGTTTGGGAAACAGAAGACTGGGCTGAATCAAATATGAGAGAAAAACATTCTTATCTGACATCTCTTGTTATGTGGTTGAACTCTTACTGCATGATTTATTTCCACCCTGTTGTCAGACCATGCTTATTGTTAGAAGAGATAAAACCATACAATGTGTGTCAGTCAACATGGAGAACTGGAGGCTGGGTGCTCTGCAGCCTGAGATTCTTCCAAGCTTGAAGGATAGCTTCAGGGTCGTGGATTATCTTAATTACAAATCATAGTTTTGATTACCTTCAGGACCAGGACTACTATTAGGTAGTCACCTCAGGCACCTAATGGCTGGTGGTGTAGGCAGCCAAGCAGCGGGATCTGCCTGGAATGAGCTTTTGTTGGAAGATGAAACTGTGTATTACAGGCAGTATGTCCTCAACTCCCTAAAATATCCTGATGTCTCTCAGAGGATGTGGATGGTACCGTTCTACTACCAGTGTAAGATTCACCTGTCAATCTGGTTGATTTCTGTAGGTGGAATGAGGTGGGGGAGATGTGGCATCTTCTCCTTTACCTCACTTAGCCAAATATTGTTGGCCACCCCAGTTACCCTTCCATATTGTTATTTTATGTTGGCTTATCCTCCAGGGTTGGGTAAGATTTCATGCACATATCTCTTATTTAGGTATCAGTGGCTTCCATAAGTCTTCTGGAAACAACGCTCCTGAGTTATCTCAGCTATAAAGTAAGTACCTATGGCCATATCCTCCCAAATCCATAATCAGGCACTTTCTCATGTTAAGCTGTGATTCTCTTAATCAAGGAAATGAGTTTATGAAGCAGTTTATTATTTGAATCCAGTGCTTGTTACAAACAGGATTGTCTCAACAGTTGGAGCTTCTTGTGGATTTAAAAAAATGCAATTTGCATTTCTCTTCTGACCTTCTTCATGCACCACACATACCTATTCTGCTCGTATCATTACATTTGGTACCTCAAACATTCTTGCTAAGAATTCATCACTCTGTTTCTTAGATCATTCTGCTACAGCCTTTAGCAATGTGATACTCTAGCTATGATGGTAAACCCTGACATTTTGGCTGTGTTGGAATTCCCTACTTTTAATATAATGCAATAAGCATCTTAGTCATGAAATAAATGCAAGACGCAACTAATGTCTGGTAATCTCAAGTCTTCTCCAAGCACCATGCAGCCAATAAGAAGTTTGTGTGTGAGCAACATAGTCCTTCCTAAATATTAGGTGTGCTTGATGGGTAATACTTCAAGCACAACTAATCCCCGTTGCTTGATATAAGCAAACTACTACTGAATGACCATTCAACTTTTATTGTAACAAGAGAATGATGTTGCAGTTGAATGAGAGTAAAATGAATACAAGAGAATTTCCGGTTGATTGAGCCCATTAGCAATGATACTTCTTTCTCAGATCCTGTATTCTAAAGTTGCTTAGTGCCAGAAGATGCACATCCATTCTGGGCACAATCCTATGGCCTTCTGAACTATCTGGGAGGGCACTGGCTTGTTCTTACAACCAGGTCCTACAACCTCAAAGCTGGAACTTTGAAGGCCAAGCACTGATACCACCCTCTTCTCAGCCTGCATGGAAAGAGCCATCCCAGCTGCCTCCCTTGAGGTTGCAAGTGTGTCTCAGAGGGAGAAAAAAAGAGGGTTGTTGGAATCAGACTTACCTGATTCCAATCAACTTCTTGGTCTTCCTTCCTTTTCCCCAGTACTAAATCTAAATGGCCGAAAGTAACTCTGTAGAGAAGATATCCAGCGTGAGTTTCTGTGATGGCAGAGATTGCCACTGCTGTGCCTCATTCCTGGCTTAGGGCTCCTCTAGTCTCCAAGGTGGTGGCTTGATTGTTCTTTACTAAATCAGTGGCTCCTAGGCTTTTCACTGCAGAACACCATCTTTCTTAGGAAAAGTTTGGTTTGCTAGTTACAGCTAATCTGGAGAATGAAGCTTGGGCTGTATGAGAATTTTGCTTCAGCTCTCAAATCACTTGAAAATACACTATTTGCAACCCTGGATGGAAATGGAGAACACAAATTCTTCAAAAATATCCAAAAATTCATGAACTTGCATTTGTATTTGTAGACAATGCAATCTTTAAAATGTGCACTTGTGAATATTTAATGGGGAATATTAAATTTATTCTGCTTTTCTGCTTTAATGGGGAAAGTGTACACTTTCTGAGAAGTGCAATTTTCGTCATTCAAGCAAGCTAGAAAAACAGGTTGCAAAGGAGAATAGCAGCAAGCTGAACTAAGCTGTGATGTAACATTTGGAGATTTCAATGAACTTCAGCATCCCTGAGTCCCCCATCTCGAGGTGAAACCCAGTTATGCCGTTACATTATGTTGTCTCTTGGTGACATGCACATAACTTCATCCTCAACCCACTTCCTAGTAAATGGTAGTAAAGTGCGTAAAGTAATTGGTTCATTTTTGCCATCACATTCTCTAAAGGAATGAAAACTCATCTTTTGCTTTCTGCAAATGCTTTCTTCAAACACAGCTGAATGTGTGCAGGCTCCTGCCATCCTTGGGCTGTTCGTGCAAATTCCAGCGGAAGAGCTGCTCAGAGCAGACTTTGTTGGGTTGGGACCAGTTCAAAAAGCCCCACTTCCCACTCAGGCATTGAAAACAACCCACAAGACCTTCTATGGGGCACAATACAAACAACCAAGATAAGTTGCTTTGTATTAGAAGAAATGGGGATGCATTTTTGTTGTGTGTCACCTGACAGACCTTGCAGCCTTCATGTGCAAAAGTAACCGTTGATTGTGTTGTGTCTTCCTTTACCTTCGGCCTTTTCTTTTAAAGGGAAACATCTGGGAACAAGTTGTGCGGATTCCTTTTCTGTTGGAAATTATCAATGCTATTCCTTTCATCATTACAGTAAGTCTCTGTCTGTGGTTCTGCACTGTGAGAAGGAGAGGGCTCGGGGTTGATTTTTATTTATTTATTTAAAGTTTTTATATACCGTCCAATACAGTCTCTGGACGGCTTACAAAAAACAACAAGTTTGCTAATATGATGCAACAGAGTGCAGCTTGAACTAAAAGGCTAAGGAAACAACCCTAGGGTCACTATATAGCATTGGAGGGGCCATAGGATTTTTTTCTCTAATCTCAAAAACTGCTCTAATCTCACATCTCAGAAATGGAACTCTTACCCATCTCCTGCCCTCTTGCAGTCAGCATAGAAAGAACTGTGCCAGCTCCTCTCTGAGGACAGAAAACAACCTCATGGAGGAATCACAGGGGCAGTTTGGTGGCGAGAGGGGAAGAGACTGGGAAAGTCAGAATGAGGCATATTTTAGAAGCATAGAAACATAGAAACAGGGCGAGTCAGAAGGGGTCTCCCGGGCCATCGAGTCTGACCTCCGACACCAGCCAGCTGTGCATGTCCAGCCTATCCTTGAAAACCCTCACCGATGGGGCCTCAACGACCTCTCGTGGAAGCCCATTCCACCCCTCAGAGTCCTAACTTTCAGGAAGTGCTTCCTGGCATCTAAATGGAACCTTGGTTCCCTGAGCTTTGCTCCATTGGAGCGCGTCCTGCCCTCCTCTGCAGGAGAGAACAGGTCTCTACCCACCTCCATGTGACATCCCCTCACATACCTGTATTTTGCCAACATATCCCCTCTGAGTCTCCTCTTCTCCATGCTGAAAAGACCCAGTTCCCTCAGTCTCGCCTCATACCCCATACCCTGCAAACTAGCCACCAGCCTTGTGGCCCTTCGCTGCACTGACTCTAATATGGCTGTATCCTTGAGGGGCCCAAAACTGAGCACAATACTCCAGTTGTGGGCACACCAGCGTCGTATAGAGTGGTAGTAATACCTCTCTTGATCTAGAAGCCACACTTCTGGCTATGCAAACAAGGGTGGCGTTCTCCCTCTTGACCACCGCTGACTCATGTTTAGCCTGCAGTCAACCAGTACCCTGAGGTCCCTTTCACAAGTGCTGCTCTCCAGCCACTTGTCACCTAACCTGTACTTATGACACCTATTCCTATGCCCCAAGTGCAAGACCTTGCACTTATCCACATTGAAAGCCATCCTGTTGTCTCCTGCCCACTTCCATAGCCTGTCCAGATCCTTTTGGATCTGGAGTACCTGCTCCTCAGTTGTGGCCACTGCTCCAGTTTTAGTATCATCTGCAAATTTGATCAGCAGACTGTTCACCCCTTCTTCCATGTCATTTATGAAAAGATTAATCAGGATCGGCCCCAAGACAGAGCCCTGGGGGACCCCGCTTGTCACTGGATGCCATCCTGATGATTCCCCACTAATGGTTACCTTCTGCTTTTGGTCAGTCAACCATGCCCTAATCCACCGGACAGTGCTTTGGTGTATCCCAAAACTCCTCTGTTTCTCCACCAGGATATCATGTCAAAGGCCTTGCTGAAATCCAGGTATACCACATCCACTGCATCCCCTCCATCTAGCCATCTCAAAACCTTGTCATAGAATTCCACAAGGTTTGTCTGGCAGGACCTGTTTTTGCGGAAGCCGTGTTGTGTGGCTGTCAGCCTCCCTTCCCTATATAGCAGGGGGTCTCAAACTCGTGGCCCACGGCCAATTGCCAGGATGGGTGGGGCACGAGGAAGGGGCCCTGCGGCCTTCAAAGTGCCGGCCACGGGCCATGGGATGAGCAGCCCACCACCACCGCGGTGGTGGAATACTTGATGCGGCCCAGCCTCACCCAGACTCTACTTCCAGCAGCCCCCAGGTAAGTTGAGTTTGAGACCCCTGCTATATAGCATCAATAGATCTCTATTATGAGCCTTTCCATTGTTTTTCCTACAATGGACGTAAGGCTAACAGGTCTGTAATTCCCCATGTCCCTTCTACTACCCTTGTTGAAAATTGGGACCACTAATACCACCCTCAAGTCCTCTGGAACTTCAAAAATGGAGGCTAGTGCGCGTGAGAGAACCCCTGCCAACTCTCTAAGTACTCTCGGGTGTAACCCATCAGGGCCTGGCGCCTGTGTAATGCCCAATGCCCTGAGGAGCCCCTCAACTTCAAGGAGGGTGACTCTAATATGTGTCCCTAAGTTCCCAGGCTCATCTAATCTCCTATAAGGATCTCCCCCATCCTGCTTTGGGGAGAACAGAGAGGCAAAAGTCATTTAGCATCTGTGCCTGTTCCCTCATATCAGTCACTGGATCTCCTTCCTCCTTATTTAGTGGTCCCACCACTTGTCTCCCCTTCCTCTTCCTATTTACATGCTGAAAGAAGTCCTTTTCGTTGCTCGTGATATTCTTGGCAAGTTTCAGCTCATAATCAGCCTTAGCCTTGTGAAGAATCCTTCTGCAACGGGCCTCCTCCTCCTGGTATAGCCTTTTGTCTATTTGCCCCAGTACCCATTTCCTACGGAGATTTCTCTTTTTTCTAATCTCCTCTAACCACCTCTTTTCGCATCCATGGCAGCGCTCTCCTCCACCTCCCCACCTTACTAACTAGAGGTATTGTCAAGGCTTGTGCCTCCAAAACCTCCATTTTGAATGTCATCCTCCCCTCCTCAACTCGCTTACCTTCTAGTAACCTATCCCAGGAGACTTTCCCCAGTCTGGCCTTCAGTTGGCCAAAGTTGGCCCTCTTGAAGTCCCAGCTTCTAGTGCTTGACCTGCTGCACGTCCCCAGTCCCCTAATCTCAAAGTAAAGGATGGAGTGATCACTCGCATCCAGAGCTCCCCTAATCTGGACTTCATCTATCAGCTCCTCCCTATTGGTCAAGACCAAGTCAAGGATGTTTCCCCCTCTCGTCGCCTCTTGGACCCTCTGTGTGAAAAATGCTCCCTCAATAGCTTCTAGGAAGCGACGTGACCTGGCTGTCACCGCCAAGTGAGTCTCCCAACTAATATCTGGGAGATTGAAATCTCCCATAATTACTGTGTCTCTCCCCTGAGATATCCTTAGAATCTGGCCTGTCAGGACATCATCCAGGGTCTCAAGTTGACCTGGAGGGCAAGAACATACTTTCAGGTCACTTTCGCTTTCAGACCACTTTCAGGTCTCTTTCGCTTTCAAAACCCCTAAGTTTCACCCAGACTGCCTCTACCGGATCCCCATCTGTGCTGCATTCTATCTCACCGCATCCTATCCCTTCCCTGATGTATAAAGCCATGCCCCCACCCCTCTTTCCCTTCCTGTCCTTTCTAAAAAGGTGATAACCCTCTATGTTCACATTCCAGACTTGCCTTTCATCCCACCAAGTTTCTGTGATTCCCACCAGGTTATACCCTCCTATTCCCAGGAGAGCTTTAAGTTCTTCCTGTTTATTATCCATGCTCCTAGTATTGGTGTACATGCACCTCAACCTTCCCACTGCTTCCTTTCCTTGGAGTTCCCAGCCTCCTCTTTCCTCCCATCCTCCCTGATACCTGGCCCCTCTCTGTAGGAGTCCTGCCGGTCCCTGCAGTACCTCTAAAACCCCGCTCCCAGAGCCCTGTTACTCTCCCCACATGTGCAAATGTGCAGACACATTTCTGGGAGGCCTGAACACCCCACCCCCCGGCACAGTTTAAAGTCTTCTGGATGAAGACTTTAAAAAGATAAAGATGATATTTTAATCATATATAAAGATGATATTTTAATCATCTTTACCACCTTGAGAAAGTTGTACCCTTAAAATCATCCTAAAAACTGTTTTAAAGTAAATCATCTCTGAAGCCTGTAAGCTTCAATTGTCTTAAACAACTGAAAATTAGGTTTCATAATTGGTGGGAATCAACTGAACTGGTGTGACCAGTTTTTATTACTAGGACTAAGCATGTACTTTTGACACTATTTGGACTCTAATGTATTTTCTCTTCAATTTTCATTAAAAGTCCCCCTCCCCCAAAAACGATTCACAGCTTTTGCTTTTACATTGCTAGCTGAGATTGGAAAAATGTCCTTCTGAAGTTTAGTTCTTGAATAGCACTCAGTGTCAAAGGTGCATTGTAACAACCTTTTCCTTACTCCCCCTTCTCCTTTATACACGCATATCCCAAGTCAAGCAGACTAAACCAGCCTTAAAATTGGGGAGTAGCTGGCGCTGTTAACCCGTGGGCAATCTAAGGACTTGAAACTTCCTGGTGATTGTGATTTGGACTGCAACCTTTATCAGAGATAAGGACTAGGATGAAAATAGAGTAGATTAAATGTCAAAGTTTTTTCTGCTCGGGTGTATTCTCCTTACCTGTTTGTTACTGTCAGGCAGGGAAGCAATGAGGCTTGAAATTTGGTATTTTAAAGTGAAACTACTTATTCTGGGTGCAGATTTATTGACAGAGATAGTTTGGAAGATGCACTGAATGCATTTCTGTATTTTTCTTCAGATTTTCTTGCCTGCATTAAGAAATTTATTTATCCCAGTATTTTTAAACTGTTGGCTAGCCAAGCATGCTCTGGAGAATATGATTGTAAGTATAATAAGGAACATGATTTCATATGAGAATTGATTCAAGGAAAACTAAACCTTTTGTTGTTGTTTTTGCTTTTCTCAGTATGAGTCAATGCAACTAGGAACACAGAGCTTGGTCTGCAGTCCACTTAAATCACCATACTTAAACTGAAACCTTTGCAGAGCCTCTGAAAATCTATGGGAGTAAATTGGTGTAAATCCAAATATGTTAGCTTAATTGCTTTCTGAATTGCCTTTCAAATGTCGGAGTTGTTTTAATGTTGGCATTTCCAGCTTTCTGTTCTACCTCCCTGTGGTTCAGTTAGATTCTGTATTCAGGAATCTAAATGCCTCCACTATGCATGTAATACATATACATTTGGTTGAGCATTAAACCCTGAGAGCTCTTGGTTCTTTTTTGCTGGCTCCAGATAACTAAAACTGAGAATTCTTTGAGGTCCCAGCCTAGCAAATACCAATTATACTTGGCTCCTGTACTGCCCTGGTATGTAGATCATAAAAAGCACAATATCGGGACAAGCCTGAAGAACAACTCTCCACTCATTTCTGCCTGGCATATTTGGCACTGGGGCCTTCAGCCAACTGGCAAATTGGAGAGTGAGCCTAAATATATGCAACAAAAGTGCCAGCCTTGAAATAATGATGCTGCTAACGGAATTTCTTGGTCTCATTTCCTGAATGTTTTGCAGATGTCAGACCCTGTATAATAACTTAGAACAGTTAAGCCGTTGAAATGCACTACAGATGATAGAATTGCTGCAGCCCAGTACGTAGTGGCATAATTCAGCCTGGGTTCAAGGACTTCCACTTAAATTATGAACTTGTAGAGCAGCCCAATCAGTCTTTAATTTCTGTTCTCTAGTCATTAAACAGAGATGACTATCCTATCTCAGAGGGTTGTTGGAAGCATGGAAATCAGTCATGTGATGGTCATCTGTGCATCAAGAAACGTCTAGATGGATAACTGTATTTTGCTCTCTGGGGGCTGACCCGGAAGGTGCAGAAGCAGTGTCTTGTGCAAAGGAGATCCCAGCCGTGCATATTGCTCAGATTGTACTCTGGGTACACTGGCTGCTTATTTGCTTCTAGTTCCAGGTCAAGGGGCTGGTTGTTACCTTTAAAGAAGGAGTGGGGGCAATCACAGGCCAGAGAAACACTTTTGGTGCCCCCCATCTGGCTGGCCAGTTTGTTCCCCAGAGCCTTCCCCCTCTTCCCTGCAGGGTAAACCTCTTATGTGTAATCCTTTCATTTCATTTCCTTGATTGCATTTCAGTCCAACCCAAAAGCTGAAGCTCTCTGAGCAGTTTACAAGGAGGAGAACAGTAGAAATACTGTCTAAAAACAGTGTACATACCCACATCTAAACATGCAACACACAGGGAGACACACACCTATCGAAAAACAATTTTAAACTATTAACAACGTCAAGACCTCACCTTGTGTTGCCTGGTATCTGAAAGAAGGAGGAGGTAATAACCTGGCACCACAAAGAGAACAATGTGGGTGCCAGGTGAACCTTGTCAGGGAAATCATTCCAAACTGGGGGGAGGCACCATCAAGCAGACCCTCCCCCACATTGTTGCCTTCTGGGACTCCCTAGGACCAGGCCCTTGGAAGAGGGCCTTCAAGGATGAACACAGTGTCCTGAAAGGTCATGCCTGGAGAGCACTTCATTGGGTATTGTAGTCCCAGGCCATGACAGGCTTCATAGGTCAGCACCAAGACCTTGCATCAGTATCTCCTTGGAAGCAGGATCTTTTCCTTGCAGGGGTGAGGAGCAAAGGCCTGGGAAAGATGTTGCTATGGACTTCAGTGCTGCCTGCTTACTTTAGGTAGACCTGCTACTTATTCTTCTGAGTACTCATGAAGAGGCATGACATGTTGTAATGTCTTTGAAAGGGCTGATGTGTGATTCAGCCCTGTATATTTACTTAAAGACAGGTGGAAAGCCTCGTGTAGTCCTGGAATCAGAAATAACCACATTTTGTTTGTTTCTTTGTTTGTATTTTAAATAAAAGTCATAAAAATACAGGTACAGTAAAAAAAACAGTATATTTGCACATTGTGCAGATTTAAAACCAAAGAAAAACCCAGTATGCAAAAATATAAAACAGTTTAACATCTAAAATATCTTCATTAAAAACTAGACTGAATTAAAACAGTAGACATAATTCATCGTATATCATTAAATGCCATTAAATGCCTAGGTAGAGAGGGCAGCTTTAATCTGACGCAGAAAAGAGGACAATGTTGGCACCACACAGGCTTCCGTAGGGAGATTGTTCCACAATTGGGGGCCATCATTGAAAAGGCCCTTAACCTTGTTGCCTCTTTCTGGGCGTCCCTTGGAGGTGGCAGTTGGAAGCGGACTCCAGATGTAGTTCGTAGGAGTGTGGATAGACTGAGGTTGGCAGAGGCATTCCATCCAGTATTGAGGTCCCAAGCCATGTAGGGTTCTATAGGTTAAAACCAGCACCTTGCATTGTGCTCAGAAACATATTGGCAGCCCAAGCAAGTGGGCCAGAATTGTGTTATATGTTCTGATGTTCTGTTCTCAGTCATTAATCTGGCCGCCTCATTTTGCACAAGCCACAGCTTCCGAACAGCCTTCTAGGGCAGTCCCACACAGAGTGCACTGTAGTAATCTAACCTAAGATTTTGGCCATGTGCACAAATGGAACATGGCCCCCTGAGGCCTTTCACAGATTGAAATTCAAGCCCTGGGCTGGAAAAATAACCCACTTCCACTAGTCCTGAATGGCTGAGTCCTGTGTTTATCTTAGGGGCTCCTTCTTTCATGCATTTTCCCATCCCTTATAGTTTCCTGGGTATTCTGGCCTTCCTTTTTCTGAATTTTATCTGTAAACAGCACAAGGACGCTTTTCCTGGTGATGATGCCTGCTCAGTGGCACTCTCTGCCTGGGAAGGTCTGCAGAGCCCCCCTCCCTTCCTCCACCAATCTGTTCTGCTGTCAACACCCCTAGTCAGAAAGAAGTCTTACTCAGCACAGAGAGGGGTTTTCTGACATCCATTCTGCCTGCATTTCATGAATTTTAGGCACCTTCCACTCCATTGGCTACTCACCCTTTGCAAGAGAATTTCATTCTTATTTGCAAATGCATATTTGCATTCCCCCGCCGCCATGCTTAAATAAAAACACCTAGTCTGCAAGTCTGTGCACTCCATTTGGCTTAGTAAAAGCCGATCAACAGCAGAAACTGCAGGCCAGAGTTACAGAAATCCAAACTCACTGAATCTATTGAGAATGTATCCACCATCCCTATGCACAGTGAAGTCTATTTGCAGATTCCACTTATTAGGGAGTGACCCTCACATTGAACTTAATGACTTCTGAGTTATTGTGCACTGTAAGATTGCACATAAAGACTTGTTGTTTCAGAAAGCTTTTTATCTTTTAGCTGCACTAGGGGTTCAACTGCTGCTTCCATTGCTAGGCTAGCTAGTTTTAATATTTTATTCATTTATTTATTGTATTTGAATGCCACTCCATTTCCAATAGGGCTTACTGGGTGGCTCACATCACAAACATGATACAGTGATACAGATAGAAAGAAGAGATAAAACAGTGATGGCTAAAATCACAATTATATAGCACAATAAAAAGTGTACTATGAAGTGCAAACAGGAGGATAAGCAACAATATAAATAACAATAAAACAATAAAAACCAGCAGTAGAACTAAATAAAACATAGTCCTAAAAACAAATGGTAAATAAAAAAGTCTTGACAAAAACTAAATAATGTGGGTGCAGGTGCACCTCTTTCGGAAGGAAATTCTGATGTGTAATTTATTGTAGCAGTCAAGCATTTTACCATTTGTTTTTCCTGGTTATTCTGGTGGTTACTAGTGTTTATTGATGCCCCTCTTTCATCTTTTTCTTCTTTGTAATTTGGTTTGAGTGCCTCACTGAAAGGGAACTTTATTAACACATGTAACTTTATTTATACATTTAACAAATTAATCTACACATAAAATCAATGTGTGCAAATGCTACAGTGTTGTAAGCTTGTCATATAGTTTGCAAACGTTCATTTTAAGGGCTCTATGCAGCACTTTTATTGAGCTATCTAATATTCATATCGTATCTAAATGCTGTATATTTCTCTAGAATGATCTTCATAGAGCCATCCAACGTACACAATCTGCGATGTTTAACCAAGTTCTGATTCTAATATCCACGTTGCTGTGTCTTATCTTTACATGGTGAGTCAAATGTGGTGTTATTAATGCTACTATTCTGATTCCTGGGTTACTAGTTTCAAATAGAAGTTTAACTGCATTTTACTGAAGATCATGTTTGGGACAGTGAATATAGAGGGCAGCTAAATCTTCTATTAGGAAAGAAAATGCCAGTCACTTCCATTTCGTGAAAGTGTTACAGCTTATGCAACAGTACCAATCATGAAACAGGTAAAACACAATGTTTTGCAGATGAGAGATTGAAAGAGAGAGAGAGAGAGAGAGAGAGAGAGAGAGAGAGAGAGAGAGAGAGAGCGCGAGCGAGCGCGAGCAACAGTTCCAGGAAGCTTCAGAAGCTCAATACCTAGCAAGGCACACCTGATTCTTCATTCATCGTTAGCATTGAATTAGAGCTAATGTTACAGACATCAATGGCTAGAGAATGGTGTGGAAATATTAATGAAGTGGTCTATATTTGGATGGTATGAAACGTGATTCTCTGGATTGGAACTGGATTCCTGAAACCAGGAAGCCCAGATAATGAACCTTAAAAGGCTAAATCTGAAATTCAATATTTGCTTTCTATAAAAACTGCAGCAATTTTGCCCTAAGACATTTTGCCTTTCTACTTTCAAGTTTAGGTTTTAACATAGAAACTGAGTAAGACAGAAGGGATCTCCTGGGCCATCTAGTCTGACCCACAGCTCCAGTCGGCTCACGTCTTCTGTTCTAGCACAAACTGTTACCCAGAAGCATCACTTACACACATTGTATAGCCTCATTCTGCTGGGTGAAGCATAGTATCAAGTGCTGAGCATGTGCTTTTCACATTTCTTGGGACTGGACGGCCTTCTCTCTCCCTTTCTAATGTCCCACTAAAGTGGCTGCTAGAATGCAAAAAGTGTCTCTTCCTCTTGCTAAAGCTTGCTTGGCTGTCAGAAACAAAAGCATTTGAGAGCCTGCCAGAGTCTGTGATTGACAAGAAGGGGCGTGCTGCTTAGAAGAGAACAGAATGTTCAGGTGCAGCCTCTGTTTTGGTAGCTGACAGAAAAAGATGAAGAAAATGGCAAATTGACCTGCAGCAATTATTGCTGCCTTCAGCATCTGCAGATAGCGGCTAATTATGTGCCACTTTATTCTGCCCTTGTTCTGACCCCTATAAACATGGAAAAACATACTAAGCAGTAGCAAAATACCCAACAGCACAATTACTAGCTAAGAAAATGCATCAGTTTGTAATGGCATGCAGTATTAATTGACATCATATTCAGTATTCCTTAAAAGAGTTCTCTATTGATTGGCTGTTATGTTGCTGTTTCTTTGGATTTTCCATGCATTATTTTTATATCTTCACCACCAGCAAATATTATTTTCTTGTACTGATATTTGCTTCTACTTCACATAGTGATTGCATGAGAATGTGCATGAAAACCTGGAATTCCTTTATCATGTCAGCTTATACAGCTGAGGCAAGCCAAGAGATCCCATCAGTCCCATCCAGTCCATCCCATGAGGGATGCTGGGAGTTCTAGACCAAACGATCTGGAAGCCCACAAGTTACCTATCCCTGTTATAAAGCGTGGATACCCCTTTAGTCCTCCCTTACCTGGGAGCCTGGTTTGCATCACTGCAGAGAAGGATGGCAGCCAGAGATTTATGGCACCATGCCTAGGGTGGCCATGCAATCTGGCAGCTGCATGGTTTCCATGCTCCACCAGCTCTGGTTGCATCCACACTCTGGTTTCTACTCCACCAGCAGGCAAGTTGGCTGGGCCAGCTGGTCTCAAAGGGTGGGGCACTGTTCTTGCCAGGCCTCTCCTGGGTCCTAAATTAACATGCTCAGTTGAACCCCAGACAGACCATCCTCTTGTCCTTCTTTTCTGCCCTTGTTGCCACTTACCTGGCTATGGTGGCATGCTAAAAGTCACTTGCTGAAGCTGGGGAGATATTTTGCCAGCACTCACAATAGGTCTACAGAGCAGTGGGGTCACCTCCAATGCCTGCGACAATGGTTTAGTTGCTCTTTCCATTTCGATGTTCTCTGTTTTTGTCCCAACATCCATTCTGGCCAACATTGGGGGGCATCCCTAGAAGAAAGTGAAGTCCTCATTAATCCTGAAAGGATTTGGGAGTGTTACACAGTTGTAGCCTGTCTCAGACATGCTTCAGTCCTCGAGCTGGCAAGCCTGGCCACAGTATTGTCCCATGCCCAAGCTGGCTTGAGCCTCGCCTTCCATCTGCCTATGTTTTCCCCAGCAGGCAGGCTGATAACTTATCTGAAAGTAGCAGCACTTTACAGAGCCTAATCCTTGTCCTGTGCAGGCCACACTCTGTGTTAGCGACAGCCAATAAAGTTGAGCACAGTTTTATCTCACCCTCTTGCTCAGCACGGTTTGTACTGTCACCTGCTGCCCCATGGGCACAATTTAAATTCTCAGTGAAATGGATGGCTTGATTTAGCAAACTGCTTTTCACTCTTTATTATTCCTTAGCTCTCCGGAGAGTTCAAAGCACTTCCCATACACATTAACTCCATAATTCTGTAACCTGGACGGAATGTTCCCCAGTTGCAACATGGGTGAGGCTGTGTGTCTGAAGTCCTGAGGTGAATTCATGGATTAGGCCGTTCATTTCTTTAGCTATCACACTAGCATGCTCTAAGTAAGCTAAATTACTCCCTGCTACATTCTAAGGTAAATCTGCTATACAATAGCCTGTTAATTGACACATTTTGCTGAGGTTTGGGATTAAAAACTATTCCTGAACCACAACAGAGATGTTCATGCACTTTTAAAAAGTGTAGTCTTCACCATATTATTGCCTTTGAATAAGAATTTATAACTTGTATCTCCATCGTTGGTCATTTTGGAGCCCAGCAGATTCCAGTCTTATGGGTCTTGGGCAGAGACTTTGTTCTGGACCACATGAGTTCTGTTCAAAGTGAATCTTAACTTCCTTACTATAAACTTGATAGAATCCCTGTCCCTTCCTCCCAGGAAATATGCTTTTGAATGTTGTGGATACGGCAAGGGTGACTGAAGAGGGTATAGTGGAAATCTTTCCAGTGATGTGACTGGGAGAGCAATCAAAGATCCAAGTCATGGGCCCAAATAGGCTGTTATAATTTCTAAAATGGGTCGTTTGTACTTTTTCATTTTAATTTTCTTGGTACATGTAATTTGCCTCAGAACAATAGCTAGAATAGTGTGTTGGAATATTGAACTGTGTTTTAATCCTTTGAAAAGAAAACAGCAGAAGCACTTGGGAATATGATTCTGAAAGTGGGACAGGCCTTACCTGTGTGTGACTTATTCCCCTTATATAACCATTTTAACAGTGCAAACAAGGATCAGACCGCGAACATTTTTGTTGTACCATGGCAATTAGGATTGGGGTTGTGCTTTCAGAATGCCAACTCCTTTATCGCTGCCTTTCTAAAAATAGCATATCATTTGTCGTGACAGTAATAGAAAATGATACTCCTTTTCTAGCATTACTGCTATTGTATTAGCAAAACTTCAGAAAAGTGAAGAGGGATTGTACCCTGCATTCATGAATAGTTGGCCAGGCGGTCAGCTAAATGGCAACATCAGAATAGTTTTTGGTGAAAGTGACAGGCAAAATCCAATTTGTGCCTCTGATTTTTCAGTAAAGTGGCAGGACAAGCTGTTAGCAAGACATCCTTTGAGTCAGAAGAGCAGTGTACAATAAACGAAAAGAAGCAAAAGAATACATGTAGGAGGATACAAGACAGCAGCTTTGATTTTTACTGTGCCTTTTCTTTGGGTGCATAGCAAACACTGTGCAACAAAAATAGAGCTTTGCTCTTTAATGGCATCTTGTCCTGAATCCATTTTGTAGCATCTCAGCTATCCATATTTCTAAATCCAGATAAATGCTTACAGTTGAGCTCAGTTCTTGTTATGCTGGTGCAAGGTGCCAAATGAGAAAGGTATGTCTATTTTCGGATCCTTATATTAATCTTGCAGGGACAAAGGTCTGCAGAAAACTTTAAGGTCAGGAATATGGGGATGACCTGTTGATTAATGTTTCGGAACTGGTGCACAAATGACTTAATAACATGGATGATCTTTTCTTGTGGATGTATCTCATGCTGTTCTGGTAATGTAAAAAAATGTGGACATTGTGTGAGAGGCTGGTACCACTAACTCCAAATTAGAAGCATTCCTATTATGTGGATTTTCCTCATGAACAGTTCCCTTGCATACCATCTCTTCATCATGTATGTTCCCAGCGTGATGTAGGGTGCAGGGAAAGAAAGCAGCATATATTACGATTTGGGTGGTATATGAAGTTGGTCTTAGAAACCTAATCAAAGAAGGACTGTACACCTAGCTGAGTGGTATATGGCCCCTAGAAAGCAAGAAGTGAGTATGAGGAAGAGGAGGAAGAGGAGTCTTATTGATAGGCTCATCAATATCTAGAAACTGCTGCAATGAACTAGCTGCAGTCTGTCCTTCTGAGTAATGAATATGGTTGCATCAGTCCAGGTTTGTTTTTTCAGTGTGTGTGTTTGTGCTCATGTCCTGAAGCACATAAACACATTATGTTCCTCAGTGCTATTCCACTCATGTTACAACATATACTTATGACTCTAGTTCTTGACTAAGTGATCATTAGTTCATCTTGTTTACTCTGGAAATAATACTGCTTGGCTCCTACCATCACAATTTTGTTCCCATCATCCTCTTACTATAATAACTTCTGTCCTGTCTTTCTACAATAATTGTGCTTAAAGAGGGTCAAGTATGCCCGTGTGATCTTTAACTACCACAGTGTAGCAGTACTCTTTTATCTTACAAAGCACTCCTTCAAATGCAAGTGCAAATGCTGCCTTGCCAGCTCTGACTATGCTCTCTGCACTCCCTGTTTCTTCACACCAGGGGCATTGCTCTGAGAGGAGGAACCTCTGAGAGCAGTGCCTCCTGGAGGAGGTTCTTGGAGGGCTTTGGCCCTCTCTTTTGGTGCTGCTCTCTGGCAGCTGAAGGGAGCACAGTTCTCAAATTAAGCAGAAAAGGAAAGGAAAATATTTACGATAGTGGAGGGAGGTGTTTTGGAACTGGGAAAGTATTATGTGTCCCAGATCCGCAGCTCGCAACCTACTGGGCTAGAAATGTTGTGCACTCCTGGTCCACAGCAATCTTTGCCTGCTTTTATTTTCATTTGCCAATGCCTTGAGGGGAAAGCAACTTGTGGATGTCTAGATCTTTTGGCATGTGGTTTTCTGTAACATTGACCAGCACAGTGAATGGTGATCTATGCTTGGACTTGTAGACCAAAACATCTAAAGAGTCTGAAGTTGCGCACCCCTACTTTAAAACATGTATGCAAGATCACATATGAAGCTTATGTATAAGTGCAAGAAAAACATTAGTGTATATTGTCTCAACAGTCGTACTCTGAGTTGGAGTTTGGGATGAGTACTTTACCTAAATTATCATGTTTCAGTGATAGAACACTTGACCTGTATGGTTTATGTAGTTGTGTCTAGGGTACAATCCTAGAAACACTTACTGTGGAGTAGGTCCCATAGAATTCAGTGGAATGTATTTTGGAGTAATCATGTTTTAAGTTGTAAGTTTGCCTAACATATTATTTTGAAAAGTCTGATGGAAAGGAAACAGTGCGAGAGAAAGGAAAATTTCCATGGGATACTGGTAAAGGAATAATAAGAGGCTTGTGGATGGGGGTTAATGTTTTAAAAAATCCTATACCAATTTTATCTGTCTTTGTGGCAATGTCCAGGACAGGGAGTATTCTTGATTCTGAAAAGAAAAGGAAAAGAGTAGCAGTATGATTCTCAACATAGCTTACCACAGAGGAAATGGCGTTCTTAAGGATCTGCCCCCATTTGAGCAGGCTAGTCTTTGGAGATCTGATGGGGAAATCCTGTTCCAGGACCCAAGGTTACATGCCATAGAGTCTTGTCTGCCCTGGGTCAAAGTGTTTTTTGTTAAACCACCACAACTGGAGTCATGACTGTCCACTGAAACCCTTCAGGTTGCTTGTGCTTGGAATCCAGGCACAGAGTCAAGATTTTCCACACTCCTCTTAAGTGAAATCATTGGAATGCAGCTGTTACTTTCTTTTTATTTCTTTGATCACTTCTTGTTTGTATCTGACTGTTTTTTTAAGAAACTGTAAAACTCCTTATAGTGGCTAGGTGATTACTCTGCTTTATAAATGTAAGCTTTTAATTAAAAATACTAGATGCATTCCAGTAATTGGGAATATAAGATCCAGTCATCAGGTTTTTAACTTTTATACAGCTATAGGGCAGCCTAGAGTTATAATAAATGATTGAGATGACACCTAGGTAGAGAAAGTTCCCATGATCAAGAAGAGTCTTTCTCCAGTATGGAAGTTATTATTATTATTTTTTACTACTCCTACCACTATTACTTATCTCTGTAACATTCTTTGTCTCTGTAACATTGAATAAATGAAGCTATTTGGATGGTTTATAGCAGTTTTTAAAACAGGAACATAATATGATAAAACATATGTTCCCAAATTATAGAAATGAAATTTCTTTTACAACGAAAACAATATTTAACACAGAATAAACCTGTTTAAAATACCTGTTGAGCCATTAAATGCCTTAGCATGGAGGACTGTGTTAACCTGGTGCCAAAAGAATGGCAGGTTTGATGCCAGGTGGGCCTTAATGGGAAGGTGGTTCTACAGTTGGGTGGGGGGAGCTTCCCCTGAAAAAGTCCTCCCCTTCATTGCAACCCACCCAGCATCCCTCAGAGGTAGAACTTTGAGAAAGGGGTCATAGTGGCTTGGGACACTGTAGCTGGACGAGAGCTCAATTAAAGTGTTGTGGACCCAAGTAATGTGTGTCTAGGTGAAAACCAGGACCTTTGTTTGGAGACCAAAATTGGTCTTGCCCGTTCAGATTTTCACATCCTGGTTATTAGTCAGACTGCTGCATTTTGAGCAAGCAGTTTCTGGACAGTCTTCAAGGGCAGCCTGTGCGGTAATCTTGGCTAGAGAGCATAGATTGGAGCATAGATTACGAAACTAAGGTATCCCTGTCCCTACAGGGGCATAGCTGGACCATCAGCTGGAGCTGATACAAGCCATCCTGTTCCACTGAGGCTTTCTGAACCTCAGGTGGCAAAGATGGCTCCAGGACAGTCACACCCTGAGAACTGAGTGTTATATGAAGGAAAAAGTGTTTCTTTAGAAAGGGTCCATGCTGAGATGGAGACGAACTGTTGGGAGAGGAAGTCAAGGTCAGTGCAGCAGCAGACAAAATTCCCCTCCCAGCTTGCTGAGGAAGATATATAATGCCAGGAATGGTACCAGGTAGCTTCCAAGAGGCCTGTTCCCTTGGAAAGTTTTCAGAGTAACCAGATCAGTGTTTTTCTGTTCAGGGGTCTTGAGTAGAGTCGTCTGCAGAGTCTCGTCTGCCCCG